AAAGCACAATAAAATGAAGTATGCCTGTATATTTCCACTCCAGGGACTGTCTTCGGAGCTCCAAACACATATGCCCAACTGCCAACTGGACATCTTTTGTATGCTTCATACACACCTCAAATTCAACATGTCCAAAACCATATTCATTATCCCAAACTAGTCCTCCTCCATGTTTCCTGACCCCAGTGAGTTAGTTGCACCACACTCCACCCAAATGCACAAACCAAAAATACATGAATCATTTTTTTATTCCTCCTTTTTTTTCTCACCCTGTATGTCCAATCTATTACCATGCATGTGCTACCTCTAAAATATATCCCAAATCTGTCTACCATCGTTATTATCACTTCCTTAGTCCAGACTAATATCATCTCCTGACTGATTAACATTTTAAAATTCTTGCTTCCAGGGGCCCTGGGTGGCTCAGTCGGTTAAGAGTCTGCCTTCGGGGGCGCCTGGGTGGCTCAGTTGGTTAAGCGACTGCCTTCAGCTCAGGTCATGATCCCGGAGTCCTGGGATGGAGTCCCACATTGGGCTCCCGGCTCAGCGGGGAGCCTGCTTCTCCCTCTGACCCTATCCCCTCTCATGCTGTCTCTCTCTCTCTCTCTCTCTCTCTCAAATAAATAAATAAAAAATTAAAAAAAAAAAAGAGTCTGCCTTCGGCTCAGGTCATGATCCTGGAATCCTGGGATCAATCCCCACGTTGGGCTCCCTGCTCAGTGGGGAGTCTGCTTCTCCCTCTCCCTCTGCCCCTCCCCACTTGTGTTCTCTCTCTCGCTCACTCACTCTCTCTCTCTCAAATAAATAAGTAAAATCTTTAAAAAATTAAAAAATAAAATCAAGTTCTTGCTTCCTTACAATTCATTCTTCTCATAGCAGTCAGAGAGATGCTAATAAATGAAAAAGGAATTGTGTATCTCCCTTGCTTAAAACACTTCAATGAATTCCCATTGCTCAAAAAGTTGAAAATAGAACTACCATACGATCCAGCAATTGCACTACTGGGTATTTATCCCAAAGATACAAATGTAGGGATCCAAAGGGGTACATGCACCCCATTGCTCTTGGAATAAACTTCAAACCCTTACTATGGCCCTTGTGGCAGAAACTGAATTGCCTGCCCAATATGTTGCCTCATTCTATAACAAAACCAGCATTTTGTTAGGGGTAGTAATAGGCTGAGTTGAAAATAAAACCTCCCCATGGGGCGCCTGGGTGGCTCAGTCATTAAGCATCTGCCTTCAGCTCAGGTCATGATCCCAGGGTTCTGGAATCGAGCCCCACATCGGGCTCCCTGCTCGGCGGAGAGCCTGCTTCTCCCACTCCCACTCTCCCTGCTTGTGTTCCCTCTCTTGCTGTGTCTCTCTCTGTCAAATAAATAAAATCTTTAAAAAAAAAAAAAAGAAAAGAAAAAGAAAACCTCCTCAGACTCCACTATAGCTAGAATTGGCCATCCAACCCAGTTCTAGCCAAGAAGATAAGCAGAAATCTACAAGATAGGGCTTCCAGGGAAACTCCTATTTTCCTGATGGAAAGAGACAGATTCAGCTGTCACATGTCTTTTGTCCTTTTGCATTCTCTCCTTTTTCCTGACTGGGTGTGAAACAGTCATCTTGGAAGCATGAAAATGGAAATCATGCTCAAAGGATCACAGAATAAAGATATGGAAGCTTGGGTCCTAGAACTTGCACAAACCCTGGACTGTTGATACTGAGGTTGTCATGTCAGAAAAATAAACCTCTTATTTTGTTAAGCCACCATATCTTGTTTTCTTTTACATGCAGCTAAAAACAGTCCTAATAGGCACAATCTTGTATGGTATGGTCCTTGTCTATCTCCTCAGCCTTGTCTTAGACAACTTTCCTCCTCCTTCACTGTTTTACAACCACACTGATTTTCCTTTTACTCTTCAAATACAAGATCTCTTCTGCTTCAGGGTATTTGCATGTGCTGTTCCTTCTGCCTGGGATAATCTTTTCCTCACTCTTTATCAGCTAACTTCTACTCATTTTTCAAGTCTGAGCTTAAGAGACATCTCAGCATGGACTTCCCTGACACCTCCAATTCAAATTAGGTGATTTCATAGCACCCTGAACTTTTCTTTCTTAGCATGTTTCATAATTTATATTTTTTTCTTTATTTACAGGATCTTTTTCCTTCTAGTTTAACATCTGTCTCCCCAGCTAGACTCAGAGCTTTATAACATCAGGGACTGTGTTTGTCTTGTCTAAATATATGCCCAGCCCCTATAACAGTGCCTACCACATATAGGGCACTGAGTAAACAGTGCTAATAAATGAACAATTTACTGCAATTCCATGTGTTTTGTGCCATTTTCCCTGCTCTACTGAATCAGAATTAATCATTGCCCCCATCCTTCCATGGCATATTGCTTTGACCTCTATTTTAATTAAATACTTTTAACAAATAAGGCATGTTTTTAAAGATCTCAAAATCTGTTCGGGAGAAAAACACCTATAAGTGAACTATAATGCAGTATAAGTGCAAGATTTAAAGTATGAGTAAGATACAAAGAAAGAACAAGGAAGGGAAATCCAAGCAAAGAGTATAGCATGTGCAAATGCCCCATAGTGTGAAAAAGCAGAGGGTGCTCAGTATCAATAAAGGGTAAAGTATAAGGAAGGCATTGGAGGCATAGTGTAACATTGTGGAGGGGGAAATCATCTAGCATAGTAAACATAGGTTTCTCCATGAGACTACTCTCATGACTTTCTCTTTTTTTCTAAGCTTGGTTAAGAATTGTAAAACAAATAAAACCATGACTTATATTTCATAAATTACATAATCAATTTCACACATAATTATGCCTGCAACAGTTGCAAAATTACTTTTCTTTGAGACATTAGGATGTGGATGAAGTCACATGTACATGCTTCATGGCCCTGCCCAGTAGAGAACCCCAGTTTACTCCATCTCTATGAAAGAAATTATCCAAAATCAAGGCTGGAGACGTAAGCAGAGTCCAGACCATTAAATGTCTGTGTTGTCACCATAAGTAGCTTTGATTTTATAGACAATAGAAATGAAAGGATTTTAAGCAGGGGAAAGATTATCCCCAGATTTGCGTCTTAGAAAGAGCACCTTGAAGGCAATGAATTGGAGGCAAAGAAACCAGTTAGAATTCTAATGCAACAGTAAAAGTTGTTGCAACTAAGGCAGTGGCAATTGAGAATGGAGAGAACAGAATTGGAGAGATAATTCAGAGGCAAAATTGACTGGATTTAATAATTGATTAGGCATGGGATGAACAAGAAAGAAAAAACTAAGGATCATTTGGAGATTTCCATTCTTTTTTTTTTTTTCAAAGATTTTATTTATTTATTCATGAGAGACAGAGAGAGAGAGGCAGAGGGAGAAGCAGGCTCCCAAGGAGCAGGGAGCCTGATGTGGGACTCGATCCCAGGACCCTGGGATCGTGACCTGAGCCAAAGGCAGACGCTTAACCATCTGAGCCACCCAGGTGCCCTGGAGATTTCCATTCTAAAGACTAATCATCGTGTCATTTAATGAGGGAGATAATACAGAAAGAAAAGTATGTTTGGAAGGGAAGATAATTAATTCAGTTTGAGATGTGTGATATTAGAAGTGCTTATGAAATATCCAAGTGAAGAGATCCAACAGGTTAGAGAGACACATGGGTCTAGAGCCCTAAGAGAACAGCCTGGATTTGAGACCTCTTAGAGACCTAAACTAAGCTTTAATGGTAAACATAGGGAGGAAAGAATGGCTTTGAAGGATGTAAGAATTTAGAATCCACAAAATTTGGTGACTGATTAGATCAAGGGAATACGAAAAAGAGAGGGGAGTCAGGGACAAACCTCAGTTTTCTGGTTTGGGATCCTGGTTGGATGATGGTTCCACTGTTATGGACTGAACTGTGCCCTTCACCCTACTAAACTCATATGTTGAAGCCCTAATACTCATTATCTTAGAATGTAACTGTATTTGGAGATAGGGCTTTTAAAGAGGTAATTAAGTAAAAATAAGGTCATATGCATGGGCCCTAGTCCAATAAGACTGTTGTCCTCATAAGAAGAAATTAGGACATGCATAGAGAGAGAATGCCATGTGAACATGAAGAAGACCATCTACAAAGCAAGGAGAGAGGTCTCAGTATAAAGCAACTCTGCTGACACCTTGATCTTGGACTTCCAGCCTCTAGAGCTGTGAGAATATAAATTTCTGTTGTTTATGCCACCTAGTCTGTGCTACTTTGTTATGGTACCTCTAGAAAACTAATATAACCACCAAGCAAGATTAAGAATATGGAGGAGAGTAGGTTGGGAAAAGGAGGTTTCAAAAGAAGAAGTTTTATGTGGGACATGTTGAGTTTGAGGTTTCTGAGGTACATCCAGGTAGAGATATTCAAATGCTTTGAAATTCAGGAGATAGAAAGGGATTATAGATACAGATTTAGAAATCATTGATATGCAGCTGACACTTTAAACTATAGGAGTGGGTGAGGTCATCTAAGAAGAGTATATAGAGTTAGAATATAATCAAGATAGAACCATAAGGAATATTAACATTAAAGAACAGACTGAGGAAGAGAATTCAGGGAAGGAAAATAATCAGAGAGATAGGATGAAGAGAGAGAGAAAAAATGTATCATTAATCTTTTAATCTGGTTTTTAATTGTAATTAGTTGAGTACATATTGATCTCAGTCCTCAAAAAGTTTTATCATAATGGAGGAGGCAGTACCTTATTCATTTCTGAATCTCCAAGACCAAGTACAGTGCCTGACATTTAATATCCCTGCAATAAATATTTGTTAAAACAAGTGGAATTGAAATCAGGACTTCATTCCTTTTTTGTTTTGTTTGCTTATTTCTGGAGTGTGCAGCATGTGTTGCCACTGATATTTTAAGTTCATAGTGAAAAATCATTTCAATGTGTCCTAGGTTTGGTCCCCTTCCAAGCTAACCCCCAGGACAATAGTTTTCATTATAACCTTCTGTCTTTGCCATTCTGGATGGAATTCTGTGCACAGAAGTTATATACATATATGGGTATATCTATGTAACAAATCACAGCACAGGAGCCCCCCGGGCTCCCTCAGGCTCTGGTATGACATATTTGAGCCATATAAATTCAGCTTCTCCTCTGGCATCTGTTAGCTGACTCACTTGCAACTCCACCTCAGCAGTGGTCTCTCAGTCCTCTCAAAGCAGGAAGAGTACTGTGTGCTGAGAGAGCATGGCAAAGAATCCTCCAGAGAACTGTGAGGACTGTCACATTCTAAATGTAAGTTGATTCATATTTTTTCCCTTTTGAGCAGAAGCATGGTTTCACAGATTTATCGTATCGCAATGTGAACATTAGAAAGTGAAATCAAAGGTGACTTTGAAGTATGGCTTGCTATTTTAAGAGCTATTGTGTATTGTTTTATTCTCTCTGTTCTTTGCTTAGGCAGAAGCTTTTAAATCCAAGAAGATATGTAAATCACTTAAGATTTGTGGATTGGTGTTTGGTATCCTGGCCCTAACTCTAATTGTCCTGTTTTGGGGGGGCAAGCACTTCTGGCCGGAGACACCCAAAAAAGTAAGTAAATGCACATTAATATCTAATGCTTCTGTTTTGAGTTTGATTGAATTTAATTAGTGCTTGACATGTATATTACTCTGAAATGAAAATCATTAAGTCCCTTTTGCATATATTTTCTGGTGGTATGAAAAACTGAATCAAGATTTTGCTTTCTTTTATTTGCCTAATTATTTTGGTAAGGGAAAAATATGTTTTCTGTATTTCAGTTAGTAGTAATAGGAGTAGAATTACACACTTTTTAATAATGCTCGGCTTTAAGAAGTTAAGACTCCTCCTAGAAGCAAATTTTTACTGTAAGAAAAAAATACTTTTCATCTTTCTTTCAATTATCTGGGCAGAAGCTGATGGAAAGTAATTATACCACCACATAAGAAGAAATCACCAGAAATGGCAGCAAAGGATTTTCAGGGATTATGTTTCTGACTTAACGCATCTGCTCTGAGGACAGGCAGCTAACTCCTTTTCAGAAGAAGCAATTCTCATACATGACTTCACATGTATTTATGACTTAAAAACAAACAAAAAAAAAACTAGAGCTTTTTGGCTCCTCACCAGCCACAATTGTCACTGACCCACTGAGATAGTAATGCCACAAGGTAGAAACAAGTCATTAATCACAGGTACCTCCGAAAGCTTCTGATAGCGAGATCATTTGGTATACCTAGGTGGCCACTGTAGTTGATATTAGTGTACCTTAATGTTATGATTACTCCCAGACTCACATGCAATAAGCAAGTTTAGATGTGACCCAAAGAAAATCATAGTTCCTTGATGCTAACAATTTCCATTTAAGAGATAAGTAATAAATGTACAAGCTACAAGGTATGTAGATGGTTTTCTGTCTTTGCCACATTTTTCTCTCTGCATGTGGGTTGTTGTTACTTTTGCTATTAATTTGTTATCATGAGATGCTCATTTCTATTTCATAACAGATGTAGGAAGAGAAGGGCATATATCCAGGAGGGAGAATGAGAGACAAGAAGAAAATGGGTTAGCATGGACTACTGAGAGCCAAAGGACTGATAGGAGCAGAGAGGAAAGAATATGGATAGATGAAAAAGGAGAGGCAAAGGAGAGAAAATAGAAAATTAACTGAACAAGTGTCCAAAAGAAAACAGAGAAATAAGGCATAGTTACCCTTGGATTCTTCACCTCTATTGCCATACCCAGTTTCATTTAGTCCCAGAGGCTATCTTATCAAGTTTAAATAGGAAGGAGAATGAAAAGCAAAGCAGCCCATCTTGTTGGTTCACCTTTTTATTTACACCTTGTTCCAGAAAGGATTTCAGGCATCACCCAATGCCTATAGTTATCCATTTCTCTCATTCTCTCTCTCTCCCCTCTCTCTCCCTCCTTCTCTCTCTCTCTCTCTCTCTCTCGCTCTCATCTCTTGCACTGTGCCCTGCTTCTGAACTACTTTCTGTTCACATTTCTTTCTAGAGAATCCACCTATATTCAGGCTATCAAGGTGGACAAAGAAATAGAGATCAGGAAGGAAACAGCAAATGAATAAAAGTGCCAAAATGCCTTCCAATCCAATTGGGCTACCACTTAGCCAATTCCCTAGGTAATGTGCTGCCCCACAAATTGAATATTATTGGATCCTTTAGACAATTATAGGTGAGTTAGAGGACAATAACCCCTTTTGTTCTCCATGGTCATAATGTACTTAACTGAGTGTGGTAGGTAGCTAGCCCTTTTGACCACCTGTGCAAGCATGACTAAACATGGGGCCAGATGGCCTTTCTTGTTTTATTGTAGCTGTTGGTACTGCAAATGCTATTTTGAAGTTTATGTGTTTTTCTAAACTTTCAATGTTATTTGCTTCAGTGCAACTATAAATGACTAAGTAAGACCTTGCTTTTATCTTGCAAGGTGCCAAACTCACTAACAGGGCCCATGGTTCCCTCTGCTTCCGTATTATATCATCTTTGCTTCTCACGTCAGTTCCCTTTTTAATGCATTATAAGGAACAATTCTGTGATTCCTCAAACCAAAAGTAAAACCTATTCAGTGCATGCACAGAAGAGGTGGGGTACGCTACCAAATAAAGTTTATCAAGAATCAAATCACTCACGAAGTAATCCATCTTGGGATGTGCTTTTCAGCAAAGGGATTCTCAGAAATGAACAAAATTATTGCAAAGTAATCTGGTAAAAGACAATAGGTGTCTCCTAGGTAAACTTTTTCCACCATGAACAAAGGTTATTTGTTCCCCATTCCAACTGGGGAGTTGCAATTTATAGTCTTTGATATTTAAGTCCTGGCCTTCACCACAAGACCAGGCTGGGTCCATTGAAAACTAAAGAACCAGCTGGAGATGTGAATGCTTCCCTCAGTCTACCACTACCTTCAATTCCCAGACAAAGAGTCCAAGAGACCATCTATGTTTCCAATGGCTAAGATTGCCAATAAGTCTGCCTTGGAGCTGACTTATGAATCCTGGGAAGAGAAAAGTAGTCAGATTAGTCTTGGGTAAAGATTTGCAAAAGAAAAGGATCCAGGCATCTTGCACAAATTAAAGACTCTCCCCTTAAGAGTATGGCCTAGCAAGAAATAACAGCAGATTAAAATCCAGGCTCTTCTGGACTTTCCTTTACAACCTATGGGACCTGTGGGGACCATGGGGCCCTTGGTGGACAGAATTGTTGATGCTGTTGTGCTTATGGATGGAGAGATTTGTTGCTCTCCTGGGGCTTCCTCCAAGCTCTTAGTGTTTGCTCCTCTAGCCTCCATCATATCTCCTTTTTATTTCGTTTTTTTGACATCTGTTTAAAGTAAATAGTATTTACTTAACGTCTTACATCTGGTGTTGACATTTCCATGCCAGTAAGTCGTTCTTTTCCTTCTATTACCTCCCACCTTGGTGTATACAAAAGATCCAGATTCCTGATCCCAAAGTGGGAGTAAGACATGCTTGATTACCTTTCCTCACCTCAGGCTTGAGCACACGTGCACGCATGCATACACACACACACACACACACACACACACACAAACACACACACACACTCCAGAAACAGAAAGGCATCAAAATGAAGTGAAACAAAAGGGATTAACTCTGGGGTAGCTGCTGCACTCCCTTATAGGCTACAGACCCCTAACCCACAACCACATATAGGAGCCACTTGAGCTGAATGAAAGCCAGACCATCAAATTCTGTATTCAGCTTTCTCAACTAAGCGGAAGGGACCTATTCAGTCCCAGAGATTTTGAGAGCACATCACAATGAGGTTCCACTTCCAGGCAGTGACTGCTCAGGGATATTTGAAGCCAATTCCCTAGAGGAACATTCTTCTTTAAACCTCCCTGCATTACACATTTAACTTGAAACAATTAGAAGCCAACTCCCCAGCTAATTAATCCAACATGGAAAAAACAAGTCATAAAAATCCCAGCCTTTAAACCAACAATTTATAGATGCAGCACAGACCTTATAACCTATCCCCTCTAACCCTTTGAAGAATGAGGCAGAAAGATGATAATTTAAATAAATGAAATTCTGCCCTTCCTGCCATATCTAGGAACTGTCTGGTGACTTTAGGGCTCTTTAGAAACCGTAAGTCTTAAGGCCACACAGCAATCAACAGATTACTGGGAGCATCTTCATAACTCCTACATACTATCAGAATGACAAGAGAAGTGGTAGGGATAGGTGGGCATCCTTCTGCCCTCTCCCCCCAACCTCAACTACAAATAATCATTAAGACAGCCTCACCCAGGTTTGCAAGCCCAATTATCATCGTAGGCTAGAAATCCTTTGCTTAGAAAAAACATTTCCTTGCTAAGTCTGGATCCAGCTTTCCTGGGCCTGTTTCTCTAATGCTAGCATTGGCCAGAGACCCACTTTCTTCTTCTTCTACTCCTTTTCTTAGCACACAATTGATAAAACTCTCCTTCCTGAGTTCCCTGGGCTTTCCTACACAGCAGTTTGGTGGATAAAATGTGGGTCTGGAGAAGCATTCATACCCTCAAGGAAAAAGTTGGAGTTGTAGCTGAAATCTCTTTAGCAGAGGGACTGAGCTTCTCCAGATGGTGCCACATCGGCATTTTAAAAAAGAAGACTTCTCTTCATTTCATTTTCCTCCCAAACCATTGCAGGAGCAAAGTCCATCCTCACACAAACAGCAACTCTCACTGGGCCAACTTTTGCTCTGAGCTATTGGGAGGCAGCCCCAATTATGTGTACCAGGACTCTGGCTACTGTGGGCACATTCTTATTCAGTCCCTTCATTCTCCTAAGGCAGCATTTGCTGAGCAACTTACATGGCACCAGCAAGGGAAACCTGGGTCCTCAAAGGGAGCTGTCTTTCAGCCACTGAGAGTGGCATTGGGGCTGTATAAGGAAAGCAGCCAGGTGATTAACAGGTAGTAGCAGTCTGATCATCAACCTAACAGGTGTTAGCCCAAATCTGAGCAGAACTAATTTTGTCAACTACTCAACATTGCATCTGGCAAGGCATGGGAGATAAAGATGGGAACTGAAACTCCAGAGAAACTTGGTGACTTGCCCAAGGTCACACAGCTTTTAAGTGGCAAAGTTGAGGCTAGGACTAGAACATGGTCTAAGGATTCTTTCTACTGTTCTTATGTTGCATTTAAGAATAAGGGGTGGTGGGGACAGTGGGCATGGGATAACTTCCAGCCAACTTGAGTCTATAGATGAAAGAAATGGTTTTTTTCTTGTTGAAAAAGAGGAATGTCTGTGCTGCTTATGCCAATTTTTTTCAGGGCTGAGAACTGGTGATTGAAGATGCAGAAGTCCAACTTTGCATAAGAAACAATCTGTCTGCTCTGTGTTGGTAAAGAAATACCCAGAGGCCCTTTAATTCCCACAGGCTAGGTTGGTAATAAAATGGTACAATGCATTCTCTTCCCTTCCTTCCAGCCTAACACCTGCTAGCCAGCTATTCTGAGCATGTATTTCACCTTTGGAGAGTGTACCTCATAAACAGACAGTAAAGGATGAAGGTGGAGAGAAGAGCAGCTAGATTAATCACGGGCTTCAAGAGGCAAACCTAAGCCAAATGTCCTCAAATCCCTTTTAGGAAAGGCTAAAGGTACTTGCCCCCAGAACAGATCCATCACACTGAGGTCTCTGGCAACATTACTTTTTATAAAAAGCCTTCTTTTCTACTCTCAGAGATTGCCACAGACTGAGGCAAGAAACAGGGAAAATTGTGAAAGGGGGATGTTAGGGCTCATTTGCTACCTGAGTGGAGGCTTTAACTGGATTGAGGAAAGAATTCCTGGGCAGGGAAGAGAAATGAGTTTTTTGCTCCATGTTTTCTCAGTGTGCTCTTCTTACATCTCTCACTGCCTGAACTGAATCACATATCTATTTCATTTCACATCTGAGTCATATTCCACTCCATAGGCTTCCCTGTCCCACTCCAGTGTTCTGGTCCTTATAATTAAGAGCAGCCCTACATGTGGGTAGAATAGGAACCTATTTGAGTTGTGCTGGAAGGATGCCCTTGCCTCCAAAATATCTCTTATTCCTGGTGTCATTCTTCTTAAAATCCATCATTAGTAATTCATTCCTTAGAATTAAGTATTGCACTCATTTTTTAAGAGACAAATACCCATCCCGATCATCTTAGTGTGAAATCATGTGTCAAATTGATTTCTTCTTTGACATAAGGGACCTGGCACTCCATGAGATTCCAAGATGTCTAGACAGGAGACAAAGGGATAGAGGGAGATGGGAAGAAGGGGAAGGACTAAGAAGGTACAAAGTGAACAGGATATGAAAAGAACTAGGTTCCCTAGAAACACCAACTTTCCCCATTTGCCAACTTGACAGACGTGTACTCCTCATCACACTCTGTCCTTGCTCTGTCCTTCTTGAAGTAAAGCTGAGTTGGGGGGCAGTGTGAGATGAGCTACTGAGAGCCCAGCCATACCTCTCTCAGGCCAGTCATCCTCTCTCTGCTTTAGTTAGTGCCTGGAAAGGACAAAACCATTTATTCCTTCCTCTCCAGAAAGACCCTCAGCCCCTGAGCCAGTGAGCTTAGTAGAGAGAAAAGTATTTCTGAGGCCAAAGTCATGAGCTCAGTCTTCATATGGGCCAGTGGAACTTGCATAGCCATTAGCCAGGCAATGTGCTCCACAGGGACCTGGGCGAGACAGTATGTCTGGATTTGCTCAAACCCATCCCCAAACAGTCCAAAGTGGGCCACAGGCATCATCTTCCTAGACAAGGACAGTCTGTTCTAAAAGGACACCTTTGATAGTAGAATTCCATCTGGGTGAATATATAGCTTTCCACCCCCACCCCTTATCCAGGATTCACATATAAATGAAGTCTTTCTGATCTCACTCCATTTAGCTGTCTATCACTGCTTTAAAAAAAAAAAAAAAAAAAGCCAAGAAGCTGGTTAGTGGATACAATCAGAATTGACCCCTTCTCCTCCATCAAAACAAAAAACAAAACTAAACTAAACAAAAAACCAAAAAACCTCTTTGAAGGAATGTTGAAAGTAATCAAGATCTGCTGAGCTTGGCAGTTTCCAATAGTTTTCATCTAGCAAGGTGTCCAAATGAAGTGCATTGCCAACAGTGCAGGAAAACTCATTCCACAGAAGTACACTGAAATTCTAAATGTCACCAGTATGGTTCCATAGTCTTCTACTAATGATTGAAAATACAGCCTCTATTTTTCTTTTGCCCAGGTAGGCAGCATTCCAACATCCCCTAGTCTCTAACCTCATTTTTCCATGCAATAATCCATCAGTAGTGTTACTGATGAAACAAACACCTCACCCCACCCCCAATGACTAGTAGTGTCGACATTTGTCTCAACAATGGATAGTATTTCTGAAGAAATTCCCTCCTTTTGGGAGATCTGACAAGACCAGATCTGAAGTAGATGCCTCTGTCCTCTACTTAGGTCAGGCTGACTGAGAGTTCAATTTGTTGCCATAGGTAGAAGTTTCTCAAGCTGGCTGCAGAGCTGGAATTGAGGACATATTTATAACTAGAAGCAAATAACAAGCCTAAAGGAATTTGTTTGCTACCTGTCACAAACCAGGCCAGACTTCCTGAGTTAACTGCAGTGGCTGGAAGGTTGTAAATACCATTTTCCTTCCCCTTTTAAAGTATGGTTTCTTAAAAGACATTGCCAATGTTCAAAATGTCTCTTTATGAAGATGAGAATTTGTCATTGGTAGGAAAAACTTATGTTGAATACTTAATACTTAATTGAGTACACTCAATACTTAAGCATTGGCCCTGTCCAAGGCACTGTAGAGACAAGGAGGTAAATGACATTGTCTCTTCCTATTCAGCAGTTACATAGACTTTTCACACTTGATATAACATTGTTTCTACAAACCCTTCCAACTCGTTTCTCTACTTCAGTTGTGGAAAATTTGACCAGGTTAAACTAACATTTAGTCACAGACACTGGCAGACATTAAAAAGCAACCCAACCCAGTACAAGCTCTAAAATGCTATCACTGGGAACCATATCATTAGAAAGCAACGTTGGCTCTATAGATGACTTGTTTTAGGGGGATTTTAGTTTACCCAGTTTTTTTCCTAAGGAAAAATGAGTATGATAGCAGATGGCCTCCTAAAAATAGGGATAAGACAGATTTCCACATGCCCATCAGGTCTGGCTTGGTTTATGATAGGTAGTGAATTACTTTAGGTTTGTTGTTTGTTTCTAGCTACAAATGTGTCATCAGTTATAGCTAATGGGCCTACTCCTATACTGGGACACTTGATGGGACTGGTCCTCTTGGTCCTAAGAAAAAAATTGTCACTTTTAGAGGGCCGGAGAGAGTCTGGGGTTTTGCTGCAACCACTCAAGAATGACCTGATAAGAAGCCTTTCCAAGGCACTGTTCTTGGAAGATACCATATTACTTAGTGCGGGGCACTTGACACAGTTGCTGAATTCTATATACAGGAGAACTTGAAGCCAACTGAATTAGGTTTGGAAAACAGAACGCAGGAATAAACTGAGTGGGTTTGATTAGCCCATAAAAGAGAAGGTCAGGGGAAGGCAATAAATGTTTCCTGGAGTTGAAAGGGAAAAAGGACGCAATTGAGGTCAGGGTAAGACTATTACCTAATACTGGCCAAGGAGAATGGTCTTCAGATTCTAAAAAAGACAGACCCAAGACTATTGAGGTAATATTAAAGCCCTGGATAGATAAGGAAATAAAGAGCAATACCTAAGCATTCTAAATGTGTTCAAATCTTTTTCTCAGCCCCAGTGAATTTCAGGGAGAGAGAGGGGGTGAGCACTTGGAAAGGAAGTGGTAACTTAAAGAAGCAGCATCAGTTTAACATAAGGGGAAAATACTTTACAGGCTGGTTTGCAAAAATATCATTTGCTATTTAGTCCAGGCTGCCAAGAAAACTGTTGGAATTTTAGTGATTAGTTCAGCAACTTAGGTTGAATACAAAATACCGGCTCTGAAGGGATCCCCATATCAGCTCCGGTGCCAAAAAGCACCTCACTTTAATCTTGAGTCTCAGAGAAATCCCAGTGGTAAGCTGCTGAGATGGCACCTCACCACAAAAGCTCCAGAAAGAGAAGGTGCCCCAAATATTATGCAATTAAAGTGTCTTATGAAGGGACACACCGAGTATCTTAGAGCTTGTTTTCCTCTGTTATTCCAGACATATGACATGGAGCACACTTTCTACAGCAATGGAGAGAAGAAGAAGATTTACATGGAAATTGATCCTGTGACCAGAACTGAAATATTTAGAAGTGGAAATGGCACTGATGAAACTTTGGAAGTACATGACTTTAAAAATGTAAGTTGGATATTCCCCCTCTCAAGGGTTCCCACTTAAAATATTAGAACATTTTAGTCAAGTTAAAAATAGCCTTAAGGCTCCACTTAATTTATAAGACAAAGCTTTCCTTTGAATTCAGATTTTGCCATCCTGGGGCCTTAACGGATCAGGGAACTCATTAACTTTGGCTATTTCAGGAAGTTTTGTTTTGTTTTGTTTTGTTTGTCTGTTTATAGGGTTACACTGGCATCTACTTTGTAGGTCTTCAAAAATGCTTCATCAAAACTCAGATTAAAGTGATTCCTGAATTTTCTGAACCAGAGGAGGAAATAGATGAGGTACGTAAGAATATTAATAGTGGTAGGAAAAGCCATCATTTATTGGGTGTTAACTATGTGCCAGATATTGTACTAAATGCTTTACTCTCATTTGATTCTCACAATGACCCTATAGGTAGGTGCTATCATTATCCCCATTTTCCCATGTGGAAACTTGGTTCAGAACCAAAAAGTGACTTGCCCAAGGTCACACGGTGATGAGCAGATTGGGATCTTGAACTCAGGCCTTTCAAAAAACTAAAGTTCATGCTGTTAGGTGCACAACTGTACTTTTATACGTGGGTAGCCTTTAACATTATGTACATTTGCTTCCAAACCAAAGTTCTAGTTAAGAGGGGTAAGTTGGAGGAACAGAAACAATCCTGCTTAAAGATAAAGTCTTAAAAAACAAAAGTCCCAAGACCACCTGAGATCCTTGCCACTTTATCACACTGTGGCATTCACTCATTTTAAAAATTTTAGTTCATTCACTTTACCATTGTATGTTGGGCTGCTAATGGAATAATCTGCATTTAACCTCACTTGGAAAGGCAAAAGCAAAGAAGGTGAGAACTACAGTGTAATACAAATTCTCTGAAAACATAATGCCAGGCCAGGGTAAGGTAACCTAAGATACTGGTGCAATCACTAAATGGCCCCCGAAAGCCTAGTGGGAGATGGAGGATTATGGCCTAAAACACAGCCACCACTAAAGCCCTTCAAGCTCTTAATGTTTCCCTGATACTCTGTCTGTAACTAAAGTGTGTTGCTATCAGTGAAGCAATAAGGCGAACCTTAGCTAAGGCCATCTTGTGGCAACACATTCCCCCTGTAGCCAGAAGAAACAAATGTTTGTTTGGTTTGTTTGGCTTTGTTTTAGTGTTTAATTGGCAAATCTAAAATGAAATTATGGCAATGGCACAGTGGTCTCTCTATATACTGTAAAGACCTCTTTCTTCTCTCTCTCCCCCATTCTTTTTCACTATTTTCCTACATAGCTCTTTCCATTTTAATTCTCGCCTACCCATTTATCTTTTGCTTTTGCTTTTGCTTTTCTTATTGTGGGGGCGAGGGAGGGTGAGGTGGGATAGGGAGCACTTTATCCTTTCCTTTACCCAAGTCTCAGAGCTATCATTGGTTCTCCCAGACATGCCACTGGTCTCCTTATGGCCAGAAAAATTACAGGCCTTAGTTACTAGAATTTCCAAGAAAAAGAAGAAGCTTTCCCAAAGATGATGCTCTGCTCTCAAGGCCTATGGTAGTGAAAAATTTTGGAGATTTTTTTAAAAATAAGCATAAATTCAATGCATCTGAGGAACAGAGCTTCCAGGATATTAGAAATTGCTGCAGGAGGCAAGGGTAAGATGAAAGGAAAATCAATAGGATAAAAAGGTACTATATGCTGCTTTTTACAGAAAATAATGTAAACATTTGAGTAGGGCCAGCCAGCAATTAAAGCCCTAAACTAAAACAACAAGATTAATTTTTCTGAAAAGATAAAGGCAAAGGCTCATAATGTCTCATTTTGGCCCTAATTTATTCCTCAATTTTGCCATATCTTTTAAATAACATAAGTATTTATCTCGTGATAGTGAGATTACTTTACCTTCAGAAAATCCATATATGTGTGTATATATATATATTCATTCAGGCTACAGACTTTTTTATGAAATAAGTTTGTGGTTCTGGATGACAAAACCCCTCTTATTCTATAGTTTTCACCACTGTATCTATGGTTTGTGCATGCTAAACATGCAGAGTAGTTATATAAATAGCCTTGATTTTGCTAACAAAGCTAGTCAGCATACCAACCTCCTTTTTTCTACAGTCCCTTTCAATGCATCCCAAGGTCTTTACAGACTCAAGGGCAAGGGAGCTAAGACTTTTGAGTTTTAAATGACTAGGGGAAAAATTATACAAAGCCATATTTCAGAGAACAAATAAAAACACTGACATCATAAAGCTAGAAAGCAACCAAAGAGACAAGTAAAAGCCTTATTAAGAGTAGGGGAAATGTCAAGGCCTAAAAAACAAGTGAGTAAGAAGTAGGTATACAAGGTAACTACTTCCGGTATGAGAAACCAAAGAGAAGGCAGTGTTCTTGATAATATAAGAAAAAAAACTCTGTAAGACAAACTGTATATATCTAGAGTGAAAGGAGTAAAATAGTGGTAAGGCCAGTGAAGTCACAAGCTGGAGACTTGACTTTAAGACAAAAAAGACATCTTTTCTACTACAACTAGCCACCATTAACAGACAAATCTTGTAAAACCCAAATATTAGGTTCGGTTGTTATGTAATTGATCTCACCAGCTTGGACTATAAGAGTTTTTTCAGCTTGAGATCAAATCCTGTTTGTAATCTTAGTTGCAAGCCTAAAACATGCTGGCACTCACAACATCCATTTAAAAGGGCAAAAACAAATGTAAATCACTCAGGATTCCAGAAGCCCAATTAAAACATACATGGCCCAGTGGGAGGCCCAGAAAATGATGGATAGCCTTCCTAGCTGTGAGTGAAATGGTAGCAGAGAAAACTCCTGTTGCGGTAAGCAGCCTTACTGTTAGACCCCCAGAGAGGGATCAGTTGTTAACTCTCCCAAGGGCACCTACTGTATGCACATGACAGAGCTAGTTCACTGGCAGCCCTGGGATTGGAATTGTTATTCAGACTCAAAACAGAGTGTTTTCCAGTATCCCATAATGTCTCACTCATTTTATTAATTTCTCCTCCTATCCCTACCTTGAACTTACTTCTCTCAGAATGAAGAAATTACCACAACTTTTTTTGAACAGTCCGTGATTTGGGTCCCAGCAGAAAAGCCTATTGAAAACCGAGACTTTCTGAAAAATTCCAAAATTCTGGAAATTTGTGATAATGTGACCATGTATTGGATCAATCCCACTCTAATAGCAGGTATGCCTTCTTCTCCTCCTCCTTTTTCTCCTCCTCTTTCTAAAGTCAATAACAGGTTAATGTTCCCATCATTTAGAGACTACATTTCTAAGAAAACAAATGATCAGCTTATATCTTCTTAGATGAAACTGTATATGCTGACTGCCAAGGAAAGAAGGAATTTTTTACAGCCAAGTTATATATCAGATAAATTAATGCTGACAAGCTTTTAAATATCCCAGCAAAGGTAATGTCACCCTAATGTGACTAGTGATAGCAAAAATCTAATCTTTCTTTGCACATCTATATTCAGTGCAGTCAGGATACCAAACTATTCCTCAAACCATTATGTACCCAACCCAAGAACAGAGGAGAAAAGAGCCAAACAATGTCCTGTTGTCTCAAGAATGATTCTGTGTGTCAAATGGCAGCATTCCCCCCGAGAAGATAGGACAGTCACTATAATACAAATTTCTTTGTGGCTGTTTTAGGAATCACTATAAAAGTGATTGAGTGCTACAGCTCTAGAGTAGAAGAGTCCAGCTCTCAACTTCCAGTCAGCTCATAAAGAAGGCAAAGGTCTCTGGACATCTTATTTTGCCCAGCTAACAGAGAGTCCAGCCTCCCTCATTCTAGACAGCCTAGATTACCATATTACTCAAGAGAGGCCACTCTAACCAGTGCAGGCATCTACTGGTACTCTTTGGCAGCTTAAAAAAAAAAAGGTGACTAAATACAATGTGATATTCTGGACTGGATGCTAGAAATTCTGCTTCAGCATTCTTTTTCTAAAAGACATTAGTGGAAATAATGATGAAATCTGAATAAAGTCTATAGTTTACTTAATAGTATTGTACCAATGTTAATTTCTTAGTTTTCATAATTGTACCATGGTTATGTGAGATGCTAATATTAGGGGAAACTACATAAAGGGTATATAGGAATTCTGTACTACCTTTGCAACTCTTCTGTAAATGTAAGATTATTTCTAAATAGAAAGTTTTTTTTTTTTAATTTAAGACAGGAAAGAGAGGGGGAAAGGGAGGAAGACAGAGGGCACCGAATCAAATACAGCAACTAAAAAATATTTACTGGGGCGCCTGGGTGGCTCAGTTGGTTAAGCGACTGCCTTCAGCTCAGGTCATGATCCCAGGGTCCTGGGATCAAGTCCCGCATTGGGCTCCCTGCTCTGCGGGGAGCCTGCTTCTCCCTCTCCCACTCCCCCTGCTTGTGTTCCCTCTCTCGCTGTGTCTCTCTCTGTCAAATAAATAAATTAATTTAATTTAATTAAATAAATAAAAATAAAAAATAAAAAATATTTACTGAGCACCTATCATAGGTAAAATCATTATGGGAGACTCCTAGGTTCCCTGTCTTCATTTTTTAAAAGATTTTATTTATTTATTTATTTATTTAAGAGAGAGAGAGCATGTGAGCAGGGGGAGGGGCAGAGGGAGAGAGAGAGAGAATCCCAAGCAGACTCCACACCCAGCATGGAGTCCCACACAGGGCTCGATCCCAAGATTCTGAGATTATGATCCCAGCCAAAACCAAGAGTCCAACGCCCAGCTGACTGAGTCACCCAGGTGCCATCCTCATCTTTAAAATTAGGATGCTGGTAAGGCAAAGCAGTAAGTGTTTGATGCCAAATGAGCAAAGAATAGGTCTGTGTACATTAGAATAGTCAGATTTGTTTTGGGAAATCTCTTCAAAATTGCAGCTGTAGGAGTTTGGAAAAGTGGTTCATGTTTGCCTAAATGATGGCAGTGAGAAGACACAATGAAAAACTGTATTCCCAACACCATAACCCCAAGCACTTCTTTCAGGAACCATTTGCAAAGCAGGTGAATCACAACTTTGTGTTTATTACCTTAGTTTCAGAGTTACAAGACTTTGAGGAGGATGGTGAAGATCTTCACTTTCCTACCAATGAAAAAAAAGGCATTGAACAAAACGAGCAGTGGGTGGTCCCTCAAGTGAAGGTGGAAAAGACCCGCCATACCAGACAAGCAAGTGAGGAAGAACTTCCAATAAATGACTATGTGAGTTACGTTCGTATTACTCTTGTTAGAGGGATAGCAAAGAGCCCTCAAAAAACTCACTACCCCTTAGATCAAAGTCACTAAATGGAGAATGGTCATTGTTTTAACAAAAAAAAATTTAAGAAACATGGAATCCCTAAGAGGTTCATTCATAATCAATCTTGATCAATCTTGATCAGACTAAGGAATTTAACTTCTCATCAGTCCCCAACTCATGTAGTCTTGTAGTCCTTCCCTGCTTGGTGGGCCTCTTCTTGGTGAAGCTTCCCCTCCAACCCCGGTTTATTCTTCTTTCAGACTGAAAATGGAATAGAATTTGACCCCATGCTGGATGAGAGAGGTTATTGTTGTATTTACTGCCGTCGAGGCAACCGCTACTGCCGCCGCGTCTGTGAACCTTTACTAGGTTACTACCCGTATCCATACTGCTACCAAGGAGGGCGGGTTATCTGTCGTGTCATCATGCCTTGCAACTGGTGGGTGGCCCGCATGCTGGGGAGGGTCTAATGGCAAGTTTGAGCTCAAGTGCTTAAACTTCTGGCAGCCAACATATAATAAATGCATGCTATTCATATGAATTTCTGCCTATGAGGCATTTGGCTCCTAGTAGCCAGCACTCCAGAATTACTTGTAGGTAATTCCTCTCTTCATGTTCTAATAAACTTCTACATCATCATCAATGGCCTGATTGCTGCTGAACACACTGGGTAAGTGCTAAGAATGTTTCCTGCAACTGAAATGGAGCAGATCTGTCTAACATGGATGACAATGATGGAAACCGGCATTGTATCAGGTTTGAGGAGTGGAAAAGGGCAAAGCATAAGGATTCTCAAATACCGTAGTTTACTACGCTGTATTGAGAAAGTGGAAATGAGGGGCTGATGATAAACTGTCCCCATAAATGATGCATAAAAACTTGTCCTTTTGTGCGTAGCCCCAGTGTTTAATTATCTGAGAGACATATTGTGGTCTTGCTCAAGCATCTGTTAAGCTGCTGGACAGGCAGTGAGTCACAGCAGGCCAGCACTAAAATATTCCAAGTGCTCAGACTCAGCAAAGGAGAAAGCTAACCTAGCAAAAAGGGTCCCAGGCTCTCCTCCTGTAAACAAGAACTCAACTTTGGACAAATTCAACACTTTATAACCTTCAGGTCTGTCTTTTCTTCAGATCAGTATCTGTTTACATAACTTTCCAAGGCAATTGTCTGGAAAGGGGGATCCATAAATATCATTCACAAAAACAGGCATCATAGGAAATCACTGAGCTGAGGAATCAAATGGGATTTTTTTTTCCCCCTCCAAAACCACAAGGAACTAGCGGTATGCCACTTTCTTAAAGGAAGGGTAAGGCCTGGTTTCCGATACCCCAATACTTTGCTTGGGAAAGAGAAAAGGGGCAAAGGAGAGAGAGAAAAAGCAGTGGTCAGAGGGTAATGTTAACCTTGATGTCCCAGCCAGTTCTAGTTTCAAAATCTTTGTCTACCAATCTGTCACACCTTCTAGTGTCATTTGACTCTAACACCTTCTTGCTCAACTTCAAGGTTAATGTGTCATGAGCATATCTGTCTGGCACTTTCCATCAGAAAAGCATTTTCAAAGAGTAAAATCTTTACCAAGATGCCTGCGGACCAGGAGTCATTTGCCCCTTTTTAATAGTTGAGGAAGCAAATAGAAACAGATTTGCCCAAGGCTGAGTTAAAATTAGCCAGTCATTAATTGATAATTAGCATACATGCCATACTTGGATTACCAGTTTTCACAGAATGAGCAATTTCACATATCTAAAAATGCAGCATCACTGAAAATATTTCCTTTTTTATTAATGATTTAGAAGACAACTGAGAATTTTGGAATACTTCAATTATCATAATAAACATTAATTTATAGCTGAAATATAAAAATGCAAAAAAATATGAAATTAATTTGAGGTTGTATGGACTTGATGATGTTCTCTATTATTGTAAAAAATTATTCATTTTTAACAATGGTCTTTAAGATCAGCCAATAGTTTTAAATTCCAAAGACATGCAATTTTATGTGGTCTACATTGTACTATATATACTATGCTCTGTGGGGTACAAATGAAGTAGAAGGTATACTCCTTATTTCCAAAGAAAAATAAGACACCCAAAATTTATAAGCCTAAGTATAGAAATTTAGACATAACTACAATTGTATAAGGCATGCTATTACATGTGCATAAACACACAGACAGATGCACACACACACGCATGGTATAGAAAGCTCCATGTCATATTTTAGGGCTAAGAGTTCCTTTTCACATTATTTAATTAAGGAAGCATTTCTTCGTCAAATGAGAGACCTCAACCTGCACATAGTTTCACACTGAGAAAGTGTGATTCCCCTTAATGAGGCAGACCATGAGTTCAAAAGAAAATACAAGGGACATCCTTAAAGAACCATTCAAATCATCTCATGTTTAGAAAGAAACAAGCCAGGGGCATGTGGGTGGCTCAGTTAGTTGAGTGACTGCCTTTGGCTCAGGTCATGATCCTGGAGTCCCAGGATCCAGTCCCACATTGGGCTCCCTGCTCAGCAGGGAGTCTGCTTCTCCCTCTGACCCCCCCACCATGCTCTCTCTCGCGCTCTCATTCTCTCTCTTTCAAATAAATAAATAAAATCTTAAAAAAAAAAAGAAAGAAAGAAAGAAACAAGCCAAAATGACAAACAAACAAAACCAACCACATTAGTCTCTCATCTCATATAGGCCCAAGCCAGGCTGAAAGAGAGAAAGGTGGTATCTATCTCCTGCTGTAGATTTTTGCCCCTCACCTGAGTTCTGGGCAGACTCCTTACATCATGCCTTGTACTGCCCTCAGATCAGCCCCACTGAAGCTAGCCCTGCCTCTTTTCCTTTTACCACCCCTTCCTAAGCCCAGCCTCCCCAGCATAAGAAGTGACACCAAAGTTACTCTGACCTCCCAAGCCAGAGACCTTGCAGTAATTCTAATTTTCCCTGTCCTCCACTCCAGTCTCTCACCAAATACTGCCAGTTTGTCCTCCTAAACCACCCCTCACTTATGCTTATGATCTAAGCCCCAGCTGTCACAACCTCCTCCCTACTGAAGTCCCCAGGCTGTAGGCTGAAACTAGAACAAATGCTTTTAGATACAGTTGACTTTTCACTTAAAGATTTTATGAACTCCATTTCCTCTCCTGAAAGTCTGTAATTACTACTTACTACATTAAGGATTAGGCCTACCTTGTGTTCAGATAGTCCTTCCTCAAAGCACCCTTAGCACCACCTCATATCATTTTTCTTCTCCCACTACGCTACCCACTCCTTTGCTTGTCTCAGTCGCATTAACTTCATGCTCTATTTGTGCAGTCATCCCATCTCATTTACAGTTCTCTCTCACTAACTTGAGGAAATTGTACAAACCCACTTTTTTCTTACCTAAACATGAAACCTAAATCCTCTCTGCTTCATTCTGTGCCTGTGTAAGTTAATATATTATTCAATGAACACATCATTTACATAAGAGTTTAACTTGCAAATTTTAGAAGAGGGCCCATACCCTCTCCCATTTTGCTCTGTCCAGAACCTAGCACAGTATCAAAAGCATACAGGTGGTCTTCCAATTTTTTTTAATTTATTTTTATTTAAATTCAATTAATTAACATATAATGTGTTATTTGTTTCAGGGGTACAGGTCTGTGATTCATCAGTCTTATATAATACGCAGTGCTCATTACAACACATACCCTCCCCAATGTCCATCACCCAGTTACCCCATCCCCCCATCCCTCCAGCAACCCTGTTTGTTTTCTAAGATTAAGAGTCTCTTATGATTTGTCTCCCTCTCTGGTTTCGTCTTGTTTCATTTTTGGGGGGCTCTTCCAATTTTTTTTATTGAAAGCAATGAGAAAGAAGAGAGGAAAGAAGGTCAAAGAAAAACGGGAGATTGTAAAAGAGCACAGCTATAAGGCTCTTCAGAATATTACTACCAAAAGTTGGCTTTGAGTTCTAGTGAAATTTAGGATGAAAGTTCCTATCTTACTTAAATCCATTTTTGTATTCCTTATCTTTTGACACAGTTCATTTCTACAAGTATGAAGAATTCTTCTAATCCCAGAATGATCAAAAGCATCAATGATTGCCCACAGCTCGATTATCTATTTCCATTATAATGCAGGCTTTTTGCATTTTCTTCTCAATTTTCAACGATTCCATGTATAAGAAAGAAAAAAAAGGCAAAAAGCACATCTGCCGTGAAATCACAAGAAATATCATATTACCTTTCAGATTCTTTGGGGATCTAAATTCCAATCAAGAAAAGTCAGGTGAGGCAAAGCCATCCATTGCTCCCACTCAGCATAAGGGCACTATGCATTAGTGTGCTCAGCGCCTTCCTGCACACCTAAAATGGCTCTTTGGCAGGACTAGGGGCAAAGGAAATCTATTTTGAGTCTTTATATATAAGGCTCACTGTCTGGCTGAGCCCAAAACTGTCACTTTGGCTCCTAAAGTCTAACGCTGAAAGCTTACTGAGATAAATATGGACCTTCTCATTCAGGCTGTCAGGAAATGCGTGGATCTATTTTATTTATACCCTTAAAAAATGATTTCATTTTGGCTTTCCTTTTTTGAAGAAGTTTCATTCTGGGGCTTAATTTTGCTGACAACATGCTGTTCCCTAACAAGAAAGAAAAGTGGCTCCATATTAAAAACCAGGTATTACTGTACACACAAAAAAATATGGTCTGTGGCTTGTTCCAAAGTCCTGCTCCTAAGTCTCCTCTGGTATCTTTAATTAATTCCCATGAAAGCTACTTACCCAAGGACTGCATTGATCATTTACTTAGATTAATAGGCAACTCTGGCATTGTGTAACTTAATGAGTGAAGAGTCACTTGTATGCTTACTGTTTTGATATTTGAGTTCCATTTGCCTATCTTTTCTTCCATTCACTTATTTGACACTCAGACCTATTGTCCTTGCTAAAAGGGCTCAGAAAGAGGTGGATTGAACCAAAGGAAATAGACTAAGCCACAATAAATCCTTCAACCAAAACAAACAAACAAAAACGAGCAATTCCACACTGCTGAGATGATCTTAGCCTAACAAGTGATATGAATATACTGTCTATATTTATCCTTCCTTGCTGATGCTATCATTTGCCATTCTGAATTTTCCACTGACAGCAGTATTTCTGCTGGTCTTACTTACAGAGATGTTGGCTACTAAAACACAATTCAGGCTCATACCCATATCAGTCATCAGTGAGCCAAGAACAAGAAACTTGCCAAAGGTAGGAGATTTAGGGTACAGGCCCTAGCTATGGTTAAGTTGCTGAAGTAGAGAGTAAGAAAGCGACAATGTGACTAGCTACAAATAGAACACCGGGATTTGAGCTTATTTATTTTGCAAAGGGGTCCATATGGCATGCCAGCTCACAAATTTACTGTGTCCACTAAAATCCATTCCTCGCGGTGGGGGTTTGCCGCTCACAGCCATGTCGCTCTAGCCATGTGTATCTATCTGGTGCACCACTGTGATGTAAGTTTCCCGTGTTCCCAATAATAGCTTTTGATGTTTTGGTTATGCTAAATCATATCACGTTTAAATCAGAATGGTTTGTGGTTGACCTTTTACATTTCCTGTTCCTCCAAACTACTTCTTTCTTTGAGAGTATCTTTCTACCAATACATGTCA